TGAATAAAGAAGTCAGAAACATGGGTTTGCACAATGTATCCATGGTCGTTTCGCTGCATCTGCATACTGATGCCAAAGTGATTTTTATTAGTCAGTGAGATTATATATATATATATATATAATACCTGTGAGATGAAGACATGACCGCTAATCACAACGCACAACACGACACAGTAACACAAAGAACGGGATAGGGTAGGGGATAATTCACCAAGGCAAAGCTCATATGACTAACCATTCACGTTGCTTACATAGATTGGGTTTGAGGATATGAATGGATAGAGCTTCGACAAATTTAGGTAACTTTGTGTTCGTTGTGTTGTAGATGACCTGCAATGCGTGAGTTGGAGTGACAAATTTTTAGTCCTGCGTACGCTGCTCGAACCTGGGGAATGCGGGCGGTTATCTCCTTTGATGCGCTACCGTCGTTTGTTACACAACTACCTAAGTAAGAAAAGCAACCCACCATAACTAATCCTGAACATTTATTTTCAAAGCGGGACTAGGTGACACCTAGTTTTGCAGTATCACTTTGCACTTTGAAGGTACAAAACACATGCCGATCGAAGCAACAGTTTACTCCAAATCGCATAGCTTTTCTCCAGCCGTCCATTTAATACTTACGTTTTGGAAACCACTTAGTGCGTTCTTCAGTATTTCGTCTATGGCCAGATTGAACAGGAATGGCAAAATAGGGCACTCTTGACGAACACCGCTGCTAGTTTTCAACGACCTACTCAGCTCGTCGTGGACTCGGGAGCTGAATCGCACATAAACTACTGTTACTGGGGATCCAATCGATAAGAGAGGCCCCGGCCCTGTTCCTGAGTACAATACCTACTCCGTACTGATCCACTGAAGGGGCTTCTTCATTACTTGATGTGCGGAGGATGTACCTTGAAGACAAATCGGGCGTACTTCTGTAACTCTTGATCCGTTGAGGCATAGAGCGCACAGCCGGTTACTGACTGTAATCCAGTCAAGAAGTGTATGCTCAGCCTTGGCACGTAGCACAATCCCAACACCGCGAGTGTCGGATACCAAATCGTTTGACATAATAATGATGAAGCGTCGGGATGAGGTTGGGTCGGCAGAACGCAGGGTGATGGTCGAAGTGGGATCTTGTATGCGTGTTTCGGAGACGCAACATACGACCAACTTGAATGTTTCAAGGGTTCTAGCTAAGGCAGCTTGTTGACCAATCTGGTAGAGTGTGTGGACGTTCAACGCGTTTTAGTGAAAAGGAAAAATTTCAATACCTTCTGATTATTTGGCCTTACTGG